CAATAAGCGGTTTGATTTTTAACCAATTATTTAATATACAATAGTAAATCCGCTTTTATAGATTTTTATATAAGTTATATAAAGTTAATATAGTCAGTACTATCATTAAGCTAGGTTGATTAAGGTCGAAATGGTATAAATATAATACTTTTAAATTTTATAAATAGCGTAATGTTAGAATAGTTATTAATATTACCAGCAAATCTTTTGGCAATTTTATATCAAGTATTATAATTATTAAGATTAAGATCATTAATCAAAGTATTTAAAGTAATAGTTAGCTTAAAAAACTTTTTCTTTATTTTAACATTTGTTTTTATTTTGATGAAGTAGTTTATTATAGAGCTTTTTAAGCCAGTATTAAATAAGCCTTTTTAGTTATTTTTATAAGCGGTCAAACGCTTATAATTCTATTTTTTAATATTAAATATTTACGCTTAACGAAGTTACCGGTATTATTTGATATATAAAATAAACTTACATATGACAAGTAAGGATTACGGAATTTAAAGATAAGTGTGAGGATTGTGATGGCAGTATGGTGGCAGTCAGGGAGGCTGCCAGCTGACAAGGGGTCAGGCAGGCACCTTGGCAGAATAAAAGGACGGAAGCACCAGGAAAGGTGGCTTTCATGGGTGATAGACAAGGGATCTTTGGCTGGAGGATCAATGGACGGGTACATCTTTGTATTTTGGTGTGTATTTAGTACTAGATTGGTCCCGCAGACCCATGGATAAAACGCAACGCACTAGACCGATCATCACCCCCATGTTCTGACTCTGTTGATCCGATAATAAGGCATAATAAGAAAGTAAGATTTTCTCGTTAAGCCGATCTTTGATATTTGCGTAAATTGCGTTAATTTACGATATTATTATTAAGGGTTTTAATATAATGCACGCTTCGGTACTAATAGTTTCAAACGCACGGATAATTAATAGAAGGGAAGGTGCACACACACCACTCTGATCACTGCAACCACTGATTTGGGCTGTGTGGCTGGCCGCTGACGGCCCCAACGCCCGATCCATGCACATGTGCCACAGAATCGTCGTCACGCGTAGCCGGTGGTTATTAAACGGTCCATGGACCATATCATCCCCGCGCTTCTGATAACATTATTAGGCAGACGGTCGTTCGATACCGCCATACCGTACGCCATGCATGACTGATGGGGATACGTCGGCATTGAGAATGGGATTCTCGCCTCGCGCCGAGCAAATCTGCCATTCTTATTGTCTGTGGAGGATTGTTCAGTTCGTCTGATGAAGCTACCAATCCCGGAATTTCGGACAGGGAGATCAAACTACCTACTGTAGGTATGCATTTGCAACGGTTCCTGATTTCGATAAAGACACTCCCACACTTCGTTTCCCTTGCCACTCTATATTCACAGCTAGACCTGCAACAGTGCCACGACTGGAGGAACGTTGACATCCATGGGGGCACTTGCAATAAATAAAAGAGAGTCATTTATGACTCTCCTCTTCAACGCACACACTTTCGCGCGCATATTGAGTTTTCCATTGGGAAGAGCAAAGAGATTTGGGTTTCATCCGAGTCGGACGCATTTGATTTGGACGAGGTAGAAAGACGGCAGAACGGCAGGCAGGTGGCGCACGCATTCCCCGGCTCCACGAATCCGTGTCAGTCACCATCGGCTTCGGGCCTTTGAGCAATATCGCTTCGTCGAAACCAGCAAATTGCACAATGGTCAATGACCATTCTGGCCAGTCATGCTGGCTGGTTGTAAAACCTGTCTGGACTCTGATGTCAAGGAGATGTCCCATTTTGGCTCAACCAAACAAAGATGCCCAAATAGGATGCCCGACTGTTTTATCCAGATAGATGGGCTTGTGCAGCGCTCATCACTCCATGTGTTTCGTGAAGCCAGAAGAGGAGTTGTATCGAAAGCTCCGAAATGACTTCAAATGAGCCAGGCATGCGAGCAATGAATGTGAGAAGCACGACCATTCGGCAGCAAGGGACATGGCCATGATTAGGTATGTTCCCAATCTAGAATCTCAAAGGGTCCGTCCGGATGTTCCATCGAGTCCAGAGTCTTGAGTCCTGACGGTGCGTCCGAGCCATGACTCTCGTTGTCTTCCATGATCCATGACACACCTCCAACCAGCTGACTCTTCCGTTCTTTCCGTTCTTTCACATGATACGGAATTTAACACGAGCCGAACCATGAAACCGTTGTCGAGGATAAAAAAAAAACCCTTTGATAAGCACACCCCCGGACGACCCAGGACCCTGAACAGTGACCGACAATGATGATCACTGATCAGGACTGATGGCGTGGCACCCTTTTCGCTAGTATTATTACGACTTTGATTTCCAATATTCTTGGACAAGGAATATGTTTTGAGGCTAGGCTGGATGGCCTGACTGAACTCTGGGAGGTCCTCTGTATCGACAAAAGCAGAGCTTCCACGGACCACACATCCACAGACAAGACAATCTTGCCGGTCATTCCCATCGTGACCAAATGGCAAAGGTGATAGGCATCTCCAAGATTCGAGTTCGGGCACGGTTGGTAGCACTTCGTACCCGAGGATGCGGTGCCTAGTATGATGATGCACATACCATATTATTTATTCTGTACCTACCTGAAATGTTCAGGTACTTTCCGACTGATGAATTGAGCAATCGAGATGGTCATCCGCTCGATCGGATAATCCTTCTTCATGACGATGGTGGTGCATGAAGCCATGAACACAACGGCGTCTAGAAAACTCGCCTCTCCACCAAAAATAATTCGCTCGACCACCGTCGACCAGGGTGGCCGCTAACAGCCAATAGCGAGCCCCGTACGGTAGGAGGTAGGCAGGGCCCTGTCGAGCTCTCTTTTTGTCCGAATTTGACTGTCTGATCTACTGCCCACCCCTGAGATTTGGAAATTTTACATTGGAGTCGAGAAGAAGAGTGCAGGTGGAGGAACATGAAGCCTGGAAGCTGGAAGCGTGCTGGCGTGGAATGAATGAGTGGTAGGCACAAAGAAGGAGGTACCTAGGTACGTACCGGTGCTGGTTCCAGCAGTGACCCTGAGAGGCTAGAGCTGCAGCAGTAGGTGGGGTGGGACCGTCGAGCCCTGCATCCATGTGGTTGTCCAGCGGTTGTCCAGCGGTTGTCCAGCGGTTGTCCTGATTCTCCGGTGAACCAAGCGCCCCAAGAGCACCTGCTGGGCTGCTGGGCTGTCAGCCACTGCAGTTCTTGTGGCGATTGCAGCACGGCAGTCTCGGTCTTGAAGAGTGGGGTGGCCCCAGTCCACTGCAGCGGTCCAGCCAGAGCCTGCACAGAGCCTGCACAGAGCCCTGGGCAGTGGGCACAGCGGTCACAGAGGGGGACCATAGCCAAATCACTTGCCATTTCCAGCTGAGTCGCCTTCCCCTTCCCCTTCCTCCGCTCGCCGCTCGCCGCTCGCGGTTCATCACACACTTCCACTTCCCCATCCTTCAACTCTCCGCCCAAACCACCACGACCACCACCACCCTCTTCCCTCTTCCTCCTGGTGCTTCTCCCCCCCCCGCGGCCCTTCTCACGATTGCTACTCTTTCTCTCTCTTCTTTCTATTCCTTTCCTCTTCAACCCCCCTAATCCGCCAATTGCCAACCGAACACTCGACCTCGACCGTCGACGTCAGGATTCAGGTTCCTACAAGCCCTGGAAGGAGAGGAAGCGAGAGAGAGAGAGACGCACCGCCGCACCGCCGCACCGACGCACCGCCTGCACCCAGCCGCCGGATCGCGTTGCTGTGCCGGAGAACAGCCCCCAGCTGCCGCGAAGAGGGAGCCAAAAAGCTGGATTGGGTAGACGAGACGACGTAACCACATCATTGACACCGTTGTGGAAAAGCGAGGGCACCCAGCTGCTCGGATCCATTCTCATCACGCGAAACCTCGCGGCCGCCCGCCCAGCCAGTCCTCGTCAAGGCCGAACCGCACTGCGTCTGCCAGAGAGCATTTCGTCGCCTTCAACAGGGTAGTCGACTCCTCGGGCGACCGGTCTCCTTCGCAATATTTTCATTAATATTAGGCAAGTACCCATTTTCATACGTGGTTTGAATGTCATTTTCCCTGGGATTGGTTTAGTCTTCCTCCGTTCGATACTGCATCATGCCTATGGTCGAATTCGAAAAAAGAAGAGCAGAGTGTACATCCCGAGATACCTAGTCTTCTATTCGTCTTCGAATACTTTCGAGTTCTATTGCCCCCGCCCCTTGGACATCACAACGCGCCTCAACCCCGGAAACAACAACGACAATACTACTACTAGGCGTCTTTCACGGTTCTGGGGATTGTTTCTGCACAAGACAGGGCCTACAAAATCACCAGTCCGTCTGGTGCCTTTGTACTCCGCTATTTCGAACAGCTATCGCTCGGGTTTCATTCTGTCTAGGCTCTTGGTCCTGGGTTCGCCTACAACAATCACGACAAAGTTCTCAACGTATCTCCGCCACGTTCTTCCATTGATCTGGGAGCATTGCATGGTATCTCCATTGTAATTTCCAGGACAATGTCAATGTAATATTTAACTAACCTTTCGCGCTACAGTGAACAGAGCTTCCTCGCATCTTCCCTCCTTCAATATACCCTCCATCGCATCCGTACCTAAAGAACAACTTCATCTGCGACGATTCCCTGTCGAGTTCAAGCATCCGACCTGCCAATTTTTGATCTCGGGGTGCCGGCTTGCGCATCACTTCCACTTGTCGCCGTGACGAGAAGTGGATTACAGCCCCGTCTTCTGAATATATCGCCAGTCTCTGTCTCTCACCTAGACTGATCGATTCATGGCTCGATTGTCTCAGTAGGGTTCTCGACGAGCTTTCTCCACGTACTTCCTTCGCGTCTTTTGCCTTGAGAATTAAAGCCGGTTGTGCCGTGGTTGATTCCACGCAACTGGGCCGTCACTTTCACGGGCTACAAGCAGAGCCCTTTCCGACAAAGGTCCGTTCTAGATCTTTGACGGAGACAAACTCGCCAACCGCCATCATGCCAGGCGGCGTTTGCGCGAATCTCGACTATGAGCCCGAGCCGATGGGCGAGTATGTGTCCGAAATGTCGACGCGACTCGTCATGCCCAACGAGACAGTCACTCCTGCTTTCCGGAAGTTTGTGTTGGGGATTCTCAATTCGACACGGTTGCCTCGCACCACTATCCTCCTCGGACTCAACTACCTCGCCAAACGCGTCAACATGCTCAACCAAGCGGGTGCATTGAAGGCAAGCGAGGGCCAGCTCTGGAAGATGCTCACAGTCTCATTGCTCCTTGGTAGCAAGTTTCTAGACGACAACACCTTTCAGAATCGATCGTGGTCCGACGTCAGTGGCATCCCGGTGGCAGAACTCAACACCATGGAAAATGAATGGCTGATAAGTATTGAGTGGGGGTTGTACGTAAACCTTGACCGAAGTCACGACTACAATGCCTGGATCAAGAGCTGGAAGGATTGGCAGGACACCAAGCGACACCAGATCCAGCAGCAGCAGCAGCAACAACATCAATCACAGGCTGCTATGCGCGAGAGGTTGGCGCCCATTGTTACAGCCATGCGCCCCGTCTCAGTCCAGAAGCATCACCCTCTGACTCTCGAAGGCTGGACGCCCGAGGAGATTGCCGAGCACGAACGTCTCAATTTGAACTCCAGACTCGTGCGCTCCGGCAAGACCGCCTACGGACCACGCGACGCATCTTGGCAGGGCCAGTACCAGAGTGGTTGGCCCCAGGCTCAAGCCCCGCTGACTCCTCCCGATTCTGGCTACGGTACACCAGAGTATTTGAACTCGGCGGCTTCGATGAACTCTCGCTACAACGAGTGGTCCAACCACGCCGTGGTCAATGGCAATTACAACCGAGGATACCAGCCGTCAGCCGGTCCCAACAGCTATTCGTCTTCGAGACACAGTTCTCACTTCCACCAGCCCTACTTCAACCATGGTCATTTTGGCCAGAACGCCTGGGACTCCAGTGCTGCCGACTGTAACTGCTCCCAGTGTGTGACCGCTATGCACACCAAGACAGCTCCGTACTTTCAGGCTCATGTCTACGGTCAAACTGTCATGGGCTGAGTGTGGTACGTCCTGTCATGGAGATACGACCAGTGGTGGTGAAACGCGACCGTCCATCAACCCAGCCAGAAGTTGCCCACACTGCCATGCATCGGCTGTTTGGACATACTTCTGGCATATTCGCGAACATGTTCATTATTCAGATACCCCATGGGAACACCGGCCGGAAGAGGAACCTTTCACGTAATACGAGATCTCACATTTCACCCCCGAACTTCGATCGACTTCGAGTCGAAACTAATTCGATCCTTCGATACTCGACCTTCGACCTCCAGTTCGTCGCAACATCATCTCGATATCCCGCGTTTGGTGACACCTCAGCCTGTCCGATTGTGTTTCCATGTTTTCATGACTTCCTCTTCCGCATTGATCATCATTCTAATTGGCGTTTATTGGCTTCGGTATTCCCCAGATGGCCCGGCGTTTTCATTGCACTAGATTCGGGCATGTTCCATTTGATTTCGCATTTTATAGCGACGGCGGCAAAAGTCCAGGCTTCATTCGGCGTTTTTAAAAAAGAGGAGATCGCCGCCGTGTGGTTACGTTAGCGAGTCGTTCATTACCACTTTCTCTGACTCACAGTAGCAGAACCCAGACTTGGGTCCACATGAGCTTGATTCCAGGACACTGGCTCATTAGCTCACTCGTCCTGTCTTGGATGGCCTTCATGGGCTCGGGGACGGTCGCTGCAATGTATGGTCAGAGCTTTGCCAATGGCACACTTTTTCCGACACGTTTCAGGAGTATAATCTGCGGCATTGGCTTTTCGGCTTCAAAAGAAAGAAAATGGGGATGGCAGCAGCCCAGGAGTTGTACACACGGTCAGGGCTTGAGATTCGGCCCTTGCTTTTTGATTTTACTTCGTAACCCGATATGGAGGTGTTGCGCGCCAATGTCCTGCTTCCTGCTGCGACCTGAAACCAACAACTTAAAACGGCATTGCAGGTTCAGTCGCGGCTACGTCAATCAGTCATCATGGCGAACACGATATTCGCGATGGTTTATATCATTGACTTTCTGTCGCCAAGAAAATGGGGGACCGTGGGTTTGGGGCTTGCGTTATGGGGTTTGATGATTGGGGGCTCTTGTCATTTAATTGTTCTGCCCCTTGAGATGGGCGCTTTCCCATTTTCTTCACGACTGGCATGATTCTTACTATCAAGGCATGGGTTCGGCTGGGTCACAACTAGGTTGGCGAAGAGATGGTGGTAGCGGTGGGCGCTTGCTTTAGCAGGGTCGTTCAGAAGGGGATGTCAACAACGTCTCCGGTGGTATTCGTGCGCGTGGGCGCGGTTGTTGCCCATGGGCAAAGGCCGCTTGTTGAGGGACGACCCGATATCCAAGAAACAATCGGGGTTGCACCCAGTGAGGCCTTTTCGCCTTCCTGCTACATATACAGACACTCAACCCCTAAAATACAGGCAAATTGTGCAAAACTCCCCTAAAAATTTCGCGTGGGCTTCCTCGGATACCATGCGGCATGTGAGCGGGAAAGTAAAGAACAAGGAAGGGCAGTAGTGCTATGAGTCGGATTGGCCTCCTAATATTGGTGTTGGAGCTGCTTGGAACCAGGCTTCAAGCCACGGCCATCCGCATATATATATACAGCTCATCGTGGAGACACTGAGCACATTAGAACGTGTCTTCGTGCCGTCGGGCCATCGGGAGCAGGCGCACTGTGCGAAGAGCTCGGTTGGGCTGCGCTGTCGTGCGGTTATGGCTGTGGGCGTCCTCCAGGTTTGCGCGGATCTGGGAGAGTCGTGCACGTCAGGCAACCGAGTCTACCAGTAGGCGGGCCGAAGTCAAGCGCGGTGCTTGGTTGACATCGTCAGTCTCCGCCATCGCGAGGGAGACGGAGGCTACAAGTGAAACTCCCTGAAGACCAGCGCCGTCGACAAGTAGGTCATCGTTTCAGGCGAGCCCTGTCATGTGTACGAATGGTGACACCAAGCAAGATCGGCCCAGTGCCGAATCTCTCCTTATCGGCGGCTCGCTGCATCCTGGTAGGTACTTGGTCGGGACGTTGCACATGCGGTAGGTTGCATTCGCTCTGCGTGTTTGCTTGTCATATCTTGCCATGCCTGCGGGTTGCTACTGTCCCGTTCCATTTGTCTGCTTCTTCTGGAGTCAGGTAGGTTCGAGTTGATACTCGCGATGCCACGTGCATGACGTGCGCTTCTTTGGTAGCGAGCAAGCGGTGGAAATGAGGGACGGCTGGCTCTTCTATTGCGGTTCTGTACTACATGTGTCTGTCACTACACTGGGCTCTGACTCGGGAGATCCGCTCGCTCACCCGCTCGTGGTATACACTCTACTGGATCAGTTTCCGTTCTCGACGCTGTGCTGCGTGGGTACTGTATACAACGGTGACATGATTTCAGGCTGCTGAGCGACTTCCGCTGGCTCGATTGGTCGAGTTCTCATTCAAGACGCCCTTGTCATTGGGGTGTACTGGACCATGGTAATGGTGTGCCTGACTTTAGCTGCAGAGATAGGCTTGAATGTGTGTGTATGTCTGTCCACGACGTTGCTTAGCTACTTGCTTACCTATTAGAACATCAGTTCAACTGCAGGCAGAGAACTGTGCAAGTAGCAGGTTGTACCAAATAGAATTATTCGTATCCCTTTCTCGCTTCATTGACTTCGATGTCATTAACCCCTGAAAATGCTATTCCTATCAGAAAGTCAGATGATGCTAACCTTTCATTGCCTCATAGTGTTAGACTGTACATGTACCACTGCGGTCTTCGCCGTTTCGAACCACCTGCAACGCCTCGACGACAATGCATAGTTCGTGGGTGTCCCCATTTTATATCACCAAACCTTCATCAGCCAAATAGCAGCTGTAAAGGAGCCAATCTCGTTGACCCTTGAATAGGAACCCAGTCGGCATCGTCATCCAATTCGTATTCCCCAGCAAGTCTCTCCATCTTAATCCTCTCGTTCCAGCTCTCCATCGCCTTCTCTCTCAACTCGTGCTGATACGAGACCGCCGGACCCAGAGCATTGTCTTTCTTGCCGACGGCGAATTTAGTGTCCTGCGATGCCATGACTCGCTCTTGCAGCTGGAAACGGGACTCACAAAGCCAGAATGCCTCGCGTGAGAGATGGAGCTTCGCGTAGTAGATGCTGTACAGCGTCGGGTATATCTCCACGCGCTTCATGGTTGATCGTGGAGCGTGGCCCAACACGTTGAACACGTGGTAGTCGTCCACATTGCTGGTATCTTGCCATCGCTTCCTGACATCATTGGAAGAAGGGATGTCGTGGTCGACGCACTTCGTGAATCTTGTAAGGTACTTCTTGTGCTGCTTGGCGTTTCGACTCGCAAGCTCCATGAGCTGCAGGTCCCGAATGCCGTCGAGTGATATGCCGTGATGGCGAAACATCACGCTGGAGGGGGATCTGACGTCGAAAGTGACTTTGGGAATATAGTCGGACTCCAGGATCGTTTTGAGAGAAACTCCCATGGCGTTCGAAGCGGACGGGTCTACGCTACGGCGCGTGCCGAGCAGGACACGGTAGATAACGTTTGGTGGGATGAAGAGACACAGAGTGATGACATTGCCATCGGCAGGTCCTTGGTAGTCCAGGTACAGCGATGGGAGCTTGGTTGGAAGACCAGAGATGGTTTCAAGTAGGGACTCAAGCGCTTCGGACGTCTTCACGTCTATGACGGTCAGAGGTGGCTGGATTTCTGCTGCTGCGGCATCCATCGCTTTAGTTGTAGCCATCGTTGGCGGGTAAAGTGAACGAAGAGAATAGGAAGGAGACAGGATGCGAAGACTCAGGTCTAGCTACAAGAAGGCAGCTCCCAGATGGCAGCGCAGCGAGAGATCATAGTTCCGGAGGCAGAAGTCTGCCCTAGGTTCACACCACTTACAAACGAAGAGATGCAAGCTGCCGAAAGCACCAGGGACTGTACAAACCCTAGAAGCAACACGCTGGCACTGATAGACGAGTACGTAGACACGACCTCACTGAACCCTGGAGCTGCTTGGCCCCTACCCATTCTCCTGGTTGTGAAGTTCCTGATCAACCACTACCATAAAGCAGACTCACCCAAAACACAGTGTTCGAACCGGTGCTGGGTGCCGGTTAAGCATGACAGCAGCGACTGCGACTGTCCTACAAGGGACAAAACAGGGAAGACTGAAGTCTCGGCCATCAGCGAAAGGCCCTCAGTGGAAGCATTTTATGGATCGGGTGATACCGTTAATGACCTGCGAACTTGCTAATAGTCGAATCGTTGTCGGGGCGCAATGGTACGAGGTTGAACGGTAAGGATGAGTTGGTTACCCCTGAAAGCATTTTGCGTCGGCCGCGATAGCCCCTCAGCTGTCTGGCAGCTCGGACTCTGGTTGCCAGCTGCAGCTGCCAGATGGCCCCGAGCTTCAACCTTGAGCTTCCTCACCTGCACTCGCACCTCTCAAGCCTCCACCGTCCGAGCAAATGCCCCCAAGATGACTTCGCGCTTCGTCTCCAGCGGCACCATCGCAGGCGACGGTGAGGCTGCCGAGGCGCCTCCCGCCGTGCCGCCGCTGAAAGCGCAGACCGCACAGTGGGACAAGGAAGCCCCCAAGAAGAACACAGAATGGGAGGCGGTGCAGAAAGAGCTCGAGGCCCAGCGGCAGCAGCGCGAACAGGCGCGCAAAGCCAACGTCGAGGGCGGCGGGGAACAGAGTCTGCACGACATCCTGCAGGCGAACAAAGGTAGCGTGCCATTCCCATTCCCATTCCTATTCCTATTCCTATTCCTATTCCCACTGCCATACCGGCGACCGACGGTAGGACGTATGCGCTGACGCCAACTGTACTGCGACACAGCGGCCAAGCAAGCAGCCTTCGAAGAGCAAAACCGCATCCGCAACCAGTTCCGCGCCCTAGACGACGATGAAGTCGACTACTTGGACAGCATAAAGGACGCGCGGAAGATGGAGGAGGATCGCGTCAAGCGGGAGACGGAGGAGCGGCTTGCGAGCTTCCGTAAGGCCCAGAAGACGCCTGCTGGTGGCGGCGGTGGTACTAATGATGACGGGGCTGCGGTTGATGAGGCGGACGAGACGGTGGTTACGTGGGCCGCGGCTGGGAGGAAGCGCAAGAGGGAGAGGGAGGCGAAGGGTGTTGTGAAGGGCGTGAAGAGAAGGGCCAGTGACGGCGGAAAGGAGGCGAAGGCGGGTGTTGCTGCTGATGTTCAGGAGAAACCGAGCACGGCGACAGCTCCACCGAACGTCTCTGAGGCGAAGTCATCCGAATTGCACGAACCGACTGCGTTGGCCTCGGCACCGGCACCGGCAACGGCACAGGCGAAGCCAAAGCTGGGTCTTGTTGACTACGGATCCGACGAGGACGATGATGACTGAGGGACCGAGGCTACGTACCACCCATCTCGCCAGCCTACAATTTGCCCGTACGAGCTCGGCGCCGTGGAGCTGAGGTATGTCTTGGGGCTTCGCTACGCGGCTACATCGCTACAGGCTCGGCCCGCTGTATGCCCTTGACATCATCATGCAATCGGTGTGGCCTGCGGCCATGGGCCATTAGGTCCATGCAACTGACTCCGTTGGAACTTGAGTGGCTCTCGAGAACATGTTGCTGCCGAGGGAGACACGCATGGCTGCTGCTACTATGGCCACGCATGGCTGTGGGCAGAGCGCCGACAAGGCGCCATCACACGAGAACGCGATTCTTGATCCTATCAGTTTGAAGAGCGCGAGTGCTCCTGAGATAGAGGTGTGAGGTAATATTATATGTAAAGGTGGCCAGAGAGGGCGTCTTCCTGGCGCTTCAATGCCCAGGAAAGCAAACTCGGCCACCAGCTACTGGGACTCGTACATACCCGCGTGCCCTTCTATATACACCACAACACGAACACGCGAGACTGTGTTGTACCAACAGACCCGTATGATACAAGCAGACCCGCATGACCAACCGATGATGCACGCAAGATGGTATCCCCTTCTACATATCACTACAAGTATTTCCACAGGTGACTTCTCCCCGACCAACAGCTGGGCTCAGAGGAGCATCATGTACAAACGCCAAATGTGTGCTCATTCGTCAACCCAGGAAGGATCGGGCTCGGGTTTCGACACGGCCCAACGCCACGTGCTTCGGACGCTGCCCTTGATCCAGCCCTCGATCTCCTCTTCAGGGACGACAATCTCCTTAGCGCGGGCTTCGTCCGCAGGCTGCATCTCGAACCTGCGCATGCGCAATGCAATACGAGGGTCTAGCACCATGGGGCTCGTCCAGATCTTTTCGGGAGGGGTAGTCGTTGCAATGGAATCCTTCTCGGTCTCTTTCGGCTTTGCCTCTTTCCATACGGACTTGGGCCAGTCCGCCTCCTCTTCCTCGAGGGCGGTCTGCTGTTCTGATCCGGTGGTGCTGGTGTCCTCGCGGTACTCGCGAGCTGCTGCGAAGCAGACAGCGGCAACCTCGCGGCCGATGTCGTCTGCCAGATATCGGCGGTTGAGGAAACGTCGTAGTCGGGTGAAGGTGTGAGAGAAGCCGAGAATATGGGGGAACGTTATAGGGGTCGAAGGGGAGAACTCGGCGGGAATGAGCATAGGCAAGTGAGAGGTGGGATAGTCGTTCGTGGTGTTGTAGGGCGGTGGTTGAGGTGGTCGCTCAGGCTTTTGCTCAGGCTTTTCTTCAGCCTTCTCCTTGGACTCTTCCTCAGGCTGGTCCGGGGCCTTCTCCCCTTCGACACCCCCTGACGTAGCTTCCGCCGCCTCAAGAGGCGTGACTTGCGGCTCAGGAACTGGTACTGCTGGCGCAGTCAGAGGTCCGAGCCAGCCTTCATGCAGTCCCCGAACGTATTCTTTCCATGTATGTCTTCCAATCACAATGTCGCCCTTTATCCCCTCATATTCAGGTGTGCCATTCTTCTGCCTTAGCTCCCGCACCATCTCTTCCTGTGTTTGCGGTGTATCAGTGGCGTCCGGCCCCCTCGTCCTCCGTATCCTCTCAGCCACAGCAGCTCTGACGTCTCCCTCCTTCCGGCCCTGCACGAACTCCCAGTCGAGGCCGGAGGCGGCCAGGATGGGCTTCACATATTCGGTAAAGTGGTCCTGGGCGACTCGCAGGCCGTCAGTAGGCGGGCTCTCGAGGAAAATGGTCAGACGGCGCGGCAGCTGGGTCGGGCTGGCAATGGGTTCGCACGCGAGGTGTGAGACAGCCCGCGTCCACTTGGCTGTCGCGCGGTTCTTTTCGCGCTTGTCGTAGACTATGGCGGCCGAGAGGGAACCCGTGATGGCAAAGAAGATCATCCAATTGCGCGACGGGAGCTTCTTGGGCAGACCGGGGATGCCCATCATGCGCAGGGCCGGGTTGGGGGTTGGCGCCTTGTATGTAGCTGCTGTATTTGGCGCACTCGACGCCTGCGAAGGTGTGTCAGTCTTCCTCGTCCTTTGAGCTTTTACCTCTTAGGTACTCGACCGGGCTAGTGAAGACTTACCGCAGCAGCAGTGGCATTGGCAGCTGGGCCAGCACCACCTCCTGGTACTGTTGGAGGAGGGTTTGAGTCCGCCATTGTAAGGTGCTCCTAAATGGAAGACCGCGAAAACCTCGATTCTTTGTTTCTGGTGGAATCACGCGCAGTGTGCGGTGCTATACAACACCAGTCGCATTCGCATTCACAGACAGCTGAAGATTGGATTCAAGCGCCTGAAATTTATTGGGAGCTTCACGCCGCCGGACCGTCCAATTGACGATAGACAAGGGTCTGCAGTTGGCAGCTGCCGATAAGAAGTTCTTGTCGGACCGGATCTATCAAAAGCCTAGCGGACTCGATATACGCATCCGTCTGCTGAAATGCATAGAAGCCTCGTTTGGCCGAGGTGCTCTACACTTGCATACCGGCGGTTGTCTCCTTCACCCCTTTCTCTTGGGAGCATATGAGAAGACAACAAAAGCAGCTAGTCAATGGCCCCTGGAGTGATGGCTGGTGGCAAGTCTTTAAGGAGTTCATTATGTGAACCGTTTGGGGAGTTGAGTATACGAGTTCTCACTTGAGAGACGCCGTCTTCCAAACGGGCACAAGCCCCCAAACACAGCGGCAATTGCGACCTCATTTCGATGCTTATAGGAGCTATAGGGACCATGTCATACTTATATTTTGTTTTGGTTTATACACCTCGGCATTCCGATGTTCAAGAAGACCAGCTTCTTCGTTCTTTGCCCTGTCAACCAGCATATTCAAACGAAGCCAAAGGCGCACAGATCATGCTCCTCGATGAAGCCATATGAGATTCACTGATTGGACGAAGGACGATACACTAGCTGGATGTAGCAGGTGGGGTTCTGCGTGCGGTGACCCCCGGCCGGATCATTGCCCGGGATGCTTGGCACGTGGACGCCACACCGGAATGGCGCTATCGCAACGATGGAACACTCGAGCGCTGCACTGGCTAGACTTCAGGGGGGGACTGGCAGTGTTTCGGTGTTTTCAAGGGTCTCATCCACACCCTCACCGTCTCCCACCAGCCACTCATGTGTTCTTCCATGCATGGAGCTATCCCTTTTGAATCCAGGGAGAGGGAGGAGGAGGGCTTGTACTGTGTAGAGTGCAAAATATCTGGTTGTCCCCTATTTCCTGTGCCATGTGAGTAGGTATGGAAAGCAAATACCAAATCAATCCCTTCGTCCCTGTCGTCTTCAAGCGACACACAGCACATCACGATTCCCGGTCAGTGGGAACTTGGAAGGTTGCGGGCCGCAACTCAATTGAAGCTAACCTTAGGCCCTGTACTGTGTAGTGCACAGACCTGGACCTCCCTGGACCTCCCCTGGATCTTCCTGTGGTCAGTGTGTACACAGTAAGGGTATTTCCGATTCCATTCCCACTTTCACCCCTCTCTCCACCGCCTGCATTCACCTGGGTGTCTGCCTCCCTTTCCCGTGCAGCTCGCTACCCATTCAGTGCCATTGTTGATGTTGTTGACTTTGTGATAGCTTGAAGCCGAATTCCAGGGGACCATCACGCAGGTAGGCACGCGAGGGGCAGCCACACTGCAGCCAACATCTTCTGTCAGGGGATCATTGTCGAAGTCGGGTATCGATAAGACAGTTCAACATCCAACACTGAACCCGCCAACTCTCCATTCAGAACAATCAGCATACCGTCTCTACGTACCCGACCTGTCCTGGAGGGGCACACCTTCTCGTCCTTCTCGTCCTTCTCGTCCTTTTCGTAGTTCTCGTCCTCCTCGACTCCCAACTCGACACCCAACCTCGAGACCCGAAGCTCGTATTCGTCTGAACCCGTGTTTCGACCAGATACGCACAGGACCAGACGAAACTACCATCCGGCGCACCACCCAAGAAATTCTCTCCGTGTCCAACTAAATCACCATCCAAGTACTCCTCAGCGAGATACGGCGCTGCGAGCGACTGCCATCAAGATGGACCCCAACCGCCTTCATCTCAATTTCGGGAGCAACAACGAGCGTCTTGCCTCTAGCGATCGCGTCTATCCCACCACGCCCTCGACATTCCCGCAGCCTGTCTTCCCAAACCCCTCCCAACAGCACCCGGGCAGCCAACAGCCCCAGCCTGCTCAGCAGTACGCCGGCGGATATGCTCCTGCGAATAGCTACTTCGCCCAGACCCAGTACCAGCCGCCCTACCCTCCGCAGCCTCCCGTCGACTACTCCGCTCAGGCTGGCGCCGCCTACCAGCCTCGAACCAACACCCCAAGTACCAATGATCCCAACGTCGGTCTCGCCCACCAGTTCTCTCACCAGAACCTGGGGGGTGTAACCCGAGCCAACCCCTACAGCGCAGCGCGAGGCCCTTCTCCTGCGCAACGACCCCGGACTGCTGGCTCCAGTGGTCAGCAGCCCAGTTACAGCTACATGAATCAGCCCATGCCCTCGTCCTCGTCCGCCGCTCGCCAGCCCGAATTCCAGGTCGCCCCCGAGAGGAACCCGGAGAAGTACGGTGTGAATGCAAACAACAACCAGAAGAAGTGCTCACAGTTGGCGGCCGATTTCTTCAAGGACAGTGTCAAGCGCGCACGTGAGCGCAACCTCAGGTAAGCCTTCTCCTATTACCCACCAGTGTTGTTATGCCATATACGTTCAGTTTTACTGACCACAATACGCGGGAACAGGCAAAGTGAGGTGGAACAGAAGCTTTCGGACCCCAGCCAGAGCGCCTCGAGACGCGAACAGATCTGGCAGAATGGCGGCAAGAAAGAAGCTAGATACCTGCGATTCCTGCGAACTAAGGACAAGCCCGAGAACTACACTACCGTCAAGATCATTGGTAAAGGTGCCTTCGGAGAGGTCAAACTGGTGCAGAAAAAGGCCGACGGCGTGGTCTATGCGATGAAGTCTTTGATAAAGACGGAGATGTTCAAGAAGGACCAACTGGCCCACGTTCGAGCCGAGCGAGATATTCTGGCCGAATCCGACAGCCCGTGGGTCGTCAAGCTCTTCACCACATTCCAAGATGCCAACTTCCTGTACATGCTCATGGAGTTCTTGCCCGGTGGCGACTTGATGACCATGCTGATCAAGTATGAAATCTTTTCGGAGGACATCACGCGATTCTACATTGCAGAGATTGTCCTGGCCATCGAAGCAGTGCACAAGCTTGGTTTCATCCACAGGTATTGCTGCCAATCCGGAGCGCTCCTTTCCTGATTTGGTTCTAACAAGTTGTACAGAGATATCAAGCCCGACAACATTCTTCTTGACAGAGGAGGACACGTCAAGCTTACCGACTTCGGCTTGTCTACAGGCTTCCACAAGCTGCACGACAACAACTACTACCAGCAGCTTCTCCAGGGAAAGTCGAACCGACCGAGGGATCGAAGTTCTGTGGCCATTGACCAGATCAATCTCACTGTCAGCAACCGTGCCCAGATCAACGACTGGAGGAGATCCCGAAGATTGATGGCGTACTCGACTGTGGGCACCCCTGACTACATTGCCCCCGAGATCTTCACGGGTCATGGGTATACATTCGATTGCGATTGGTGGTCACTAGGTACAATTATGTTTGAGTGTCTAGTCGGTTGGCCTCCGTTCTGCGCCGAGGATAGCCACGACACGTACCGAAAGATTGTGAACTGGAGACAATCTCTGTACTTTCCTGATGATATTACATTGGGTAGTGAAGCAGAGCACCTGATTCGCAGGTAAGTTCATTGTATTCGACCCCTTGGCCGCGCATCGCTCACAGGGAGTTTCCAGTCTCATCTGCAATACCGAGGTCCGACTTGGAAGAAGTGGCGCTCAAGACATCAAGCACCACTCGTTCTTCCGAGGTGTCGAGTTTGACAGCCTTCGCCGTATCCGCGCTCCCTTCGAGCCGCGTCTGACTTCGGCCATCGATACCACATACTTCCCCACGGACGAGATCGACCAGACAGACAATGCCACTGTTCTGAAGGCTCAAGCCCTTGCGTCCGGCAAACCCATCGAGGACACGCCCGAGATGAGCTTGCCTTTTATTGGCTACACATTCAAGCGTTTCGATAACAACTTCCGCTGATCGTGTGTCTTTGTGTAGTCTGGTCGGCTGCGCGCGAGTGTGTTACTCGTGTATCTGCTAACCAGCTATGTGATGCGTCTCCAAGACAGGAACACTATGGTGGCTGGCTGACTGGTGTTGCCGCTCCAGCAATCGACGTATACCCCCTAACTGGCTTGAACGGCCCAAACCCTTGAGGATTCGGTCACTTTTGGGAAAACGCCTTTTACGTACCCCCATATCTTGAGAAGCAAAATAAACAACAACAACAACACTTGATGGATTAATTACCGTTGAGATTCTGTCATTGCAAGCACGGACGGACGGCTTTTGTATCGCGCACCAAGATTCTCGTTAGTAGAGCCATAGCATGAGGGACGGAAGGCATAGACCTGACCATGGATGGCAATCCCTTGGTATCACATGCGAGATTACGAACGAGGAGTTGAAGCAAAAGGGACATGCTCTCTGGACTACATCGTGTTGAAATGGAGGTTCCCGCATTCATGGTTCAGGCATATGGCCCACCCTCAAGGACGAATGTGTGACGAGATACCAGACAGCAGATGAACCTGATCATTGTTGGGGTGCACCTTAAACTTGCTTCTGATTTCCTCAGTATCGTGAATGGTACACCAATAAGTATCTATGGCCAGTAAACAGAGGCTTCTGCGATATGGAGAGACCTCTCAGAGGAGCCGCCCCTTGCAGAGTGGTCTTGCCAGCTGCAAGTGCCGCTGTCAGGCGGTAACGGGCCGCTCGATCTAGAGTATTGACCCACTTATTTGCACTTTGCGCTGAGGACAGGCTTGCAGGCTTGCAGACACTCAGAACTCCGTCCAGGAACATCTCCGCTACCTTCACGTCTACCCACGGCTGCCACGGTATCTAACGTATCGTACATCCCAAACACGTCGTCACGACCGTACCTTTCTCCTACGTCAGAGTCACCGACGAAATACCATCGCGCATTCCGACGACGCATCAACAAACGAGCGACATATACCGATACAGGCACGGGTGAGGACGGGCAAGATGGATTATCAGAATCGCGCCGGCTCCAAGTTTGGTGGCGGTGGTGTGGCCTCGTACAGCGCGACGAATGCGGATCGTCGTGAGCGCCTGCGCAAGCTCGCCCTCGAGACCATTGATCTGGACAAGGACCCTTACTTCTTCCGAAACCACGTCGGCTCGTTCGAATGTCGCCTCTGCTTGACCGTCCACCAGAATGACGGCTCCTACCTCGCCCATACCCAGGGCAAGAAGCACCAGACGAATCTGGCACGCCGCGCCGCCCGCGAGCAGAAGGAGGGCAAGGGCCAGCTCGATCCCAACACAGGGCTGCCGGTTGGTGTCGTGGGCGCAGGCTTTGGCGCGGGTATGATTCGACGGAACGTGGTGAAGATCGGCCGTCCCGGATACAGAATCACAAAGGTGCGGGACCAGGTAACGCGACAACAGGGCCTGCTCTTTCAGCTGCAGTACCCCGAGATCAGCCAGGGCGTCACGCCCAAGGTCCGCTTCATGAGCGCCTTTGAGCAGCGCGTCGACGACCCCCCGGACAAGAACTACCAGTACATGCTCGTCGCCGCTGAGCCGTACGAGACCTGCGGCTTTAAGCTTCAGGCGCGGGAGATCGACCGCACCGGCGATCGCTACTGGACATGGTGGGACGCCGACCTCAAGGAGTTCTGGGTGCAGGTCATGTTCCTGACGGAGCGCGAGGAGAGATATGTCGGCGTGCCTGGATTGCCCGGAAGATAAAGCTCGCAACAATGGACTAGAGTCCATGATGGACATGAGCCTCATAGTGCTTCATGGTCCGGGAGGAGGATACATAGTGGTTAGGGGACGAAATGGATGGCAAGTTTGTCTTTAGTGCGCGGCTTTGAAATTATCACTGACCGGTTCCAAAGCACCATCTCGCGAGGCTGACCTCAATCGATATCCCGAAGATATTGGCATGGTCTGAAGATTGAAGATCTGCGCAAAGGTATATTGCTGTCCAAATAGAACAAATGCTATCATCCGTTCTAATATCATCCTTCAAGCTCTCCAGTGCTTTACACTCTTCCATCTTATCCACTGCGCACCTAGTCACGCGAAAAGGCACGCCCACGCCCACGCCGACTGCGTCACCCACCCCAATCTTCCAGGTATCGTGCTGACACTGATGCGCCTTACCTGCGATTGCCTACAGATATCGCCACACGACATTTTCCTGCACAGCGAAACCGCGAGCTGGCCCTTGTATGATGTGGTTCCTCCAGGTGTGAGGTCTTGAAGAAGTAGAAGTTGCAGTCTCCGAGCCAGGGCGCGTTTGGCTTCGCCCGCCGTCAACTCCCGTGTGAGGCCAGCCGGAATCGCCTGTAATACGGTTCCTGGCACGGACACGTTGGAGTTGAGGCGTGTCTGATGAAACCGCGGGCAATATCAGCATCAATTCCCAGTCCTTCGTCGGTACCTTGTACCAAGTCGATTAGGTCTTTACTGTGATGTGTTACTTACTTGACTCCATTGACCAGGTCGGGCGTATTCATCACCCAGCAACTCGTCTGGTCCGAACACACTAGAGTGGCACCTGATTACGTTAGCGGCGTCCTTTCCACGACGGTACACAGGCTGGTATGAGTAACAACCGCGGGGTTGAACAGCCTCCATCCTCGGATATAGAGCTGTTGTGCCTGATTGGATATCACTCACTAGGTGATGTGACATGTTGTCTGAACACTCTCATCGACAAGTATACACATGTGTCTAGAAGTCCCCTGTGAACCTTGTAATTGACGTTCAGATGACTCTCCCCCGTCCGTACCCATGAGTTCGACTTACTATAGCCATTTGTCATGAACAGTCATTCTCACTTCAAAGCCTTTGTTTCAGGTTACTCTGAACACACCACTAAACTATGGCGGCGGTAGCCTCTCCGGGGTTTCTCATTACCAAGCGCAGCTCACAACAAAAGCCCGTCACCAACCCCATTGACCACCATCCGCCATTTCCTCAAAAACCAAGGCGCCACCTCCCAACTCGCCATATCCCACGGATGGCAGCTGACTCCCGCCCAATGCCGCCAACACACCAGCGCGCTTCGCGCATATATATCCAGCTTCATCTCCCAGAGGTCGAACAAATGCGGCATGGCAGCCGAAAGCATGATGGCGCTCTCGCGCAGCGCCGGCAGCGGGATCAGGTCCAGGCTGGCGTGGTGCGGGATCATGATTTGCGCCAGTGTCGGCCGCAGGTGCGGCGGCACGGCGCCGCTGGTCGAGGACGCAACGAGCGCCGTTGGGTCTTGTTGGGGCGAGATCGTCGGCCGGTAGAAGGGCGACATGTGTGTCGCGGCGCAGACTGCCAGCTGAGATATGTCGATGCCGAGGCAGATGGCGTTGGTTAGGACGGCGATGCGGGTACTGGTTTCTTGGTCTTGGAGGTTGCTGAGGTCGAGAAATGAGGGGAAAAGGGAGGTTTCCTGTGCCGCGATGGTTGGTGCGCAGACCTCTTCTGCGGTTGTGTATGGTACTACGGTCGTCTGGAGGCAGAGACTCAGGTCTATGTCTGTGAGACTGGTTTCCGGGCCTGGGAAGCCGCAGTGTATGAGGGGCTCAATATCTGCCAGTACTTGGGCCATGGGCATCTCGAGGGGCATCTCCGCTGCTGGGCAGGGCGGCCTATCACCGGAGCATACATCGGGTACATGACCGCCAGTCAGGTGGTCTGCTACATCTGGGAGCACTTCCGCAGTACTGCGCGGCTCAAGCCGCCGGGGTGCTGTTATGTGCGGCCTGAGCGGAACTGTCTGTTTTAGTTCCCTTTGCCTTTTCCCTGCAGGGCTCGGGTCAGTATTGTTGATCGAGATGGAAGACATAGAAGCAATCTAAACATACGATAGGCCCTCTGCGCAACTTTGTTCTGTTCCTTGCGGGCAGCTGTGACGGTTCTCCTCTTGGGCTGTCTTGGACTATTCGCCCCCCGTGACCCGTCCATATTTCTTAGGAAGTATAAGCCACTTATTTCGGTCCCACAAACCGCAGCAGGTGATTGATGATCGCCGTAAGTTTGGTTTGTTGCGGACAGATGTTCTGTAGTGGCGATGAAGGTGAAAGGGTAAGCCATCAAGGCTCACGGAATCTGTTGCTGGTGTGTTGGTGGATAACCCCTATGTCCGATATTTCCGACTCGCAATCGTGCGCCTGGCTTATGAGTTATGAGCCAATCAGAGGTCAGGAATCCCGTAAGCCATAGACGTGATCAACCACATGGAAGAAAGTAGGCGTTGGAGGTGCGCTGGCTTGGGACCATTGGGAAAAGACTGCACGTAAATGACCGATCTCGGGATCATCTGGGGAGTTCCTGGATATAAATATCTATCAGAACAACCCTCGAAAGGCACTCTCCGTACCCAGAAGACCCATACACACTCATCGTACTGAAATAGACTCCTCTCTTAACAATCCCAAGCAAGACACTATACTACAACATTACGCCCGCAACGTCCAACATGATGGCTACCGCTAAGAAGATCATTGCAGTCGTGGGTGCCACCGGCATTCAGGGGTCATCCGTCGCCCATGCATTCCTCGCATCCCCTGACAAGTGGCATGTCCGCTGCCTCACACGGCACCCATCGTCAACGAAGGCACAAGAACTCGCAAAGCTCGGATGTGAGGTAGTCCAGGCCGACCTCACTGACCAAGCCTCTCTGTCCCGTGCCTTCGACGGCGCCCATGCGATCTTCGTCAACACCGACTTCTGGGCACCCTACCGATCCTCAGTCACATCAGGCGTCAGCTCCGACGAAAGCTGCAAGATAGGCCATGAAGTCGAAGTCGCGCATGGTAAGAACGCTGCCATAGTCGCCGCCGGCGTGCCCACGCTCGAACGGTTCGTGTACTCTGCTCTGGGCCCGATGAACCGAGCTTCCAATGGGAAATACCCACAGTCGCACCACTGGGAGACCAAGGCCGCCATTGTGGACTACATCGAAGCCGAACATCCCGAGCTCGCCAGGAAGATGGCCACGATATACATCGGTGCATACACCACCAACAATCTTTTGGTGCCCAAACTCGACTCCAGCACCGGAGAGTACAGCGTCCTCCTCCCCTGCAAGCCGACAACCAGGTTCCCTATCATCGACACGGCCGAGTCCACCGGGATCTTCGTCAAGGCCTTGGTTGAAGGCGAACAACCCAACACCAAGCTCCTGGCCTACGACAGCTACTTAAGTGTCGAGCAGATCATCCAGGCGTGGTCGAACGTCACGGGCAAGCAGGCCAAGCTCGTAGAGGGGACTGTGGAGGAGATGCATGAGATGACGCGCTTGCCTTTGGAGGTGCTTGTGGCGCCAGCGTTCATTGAGGAGTATGGGTATACTGCGGGTGTATCGGGTGTCATTGAGCCGCCGCAGCTGAAGACCAAGGTACAGACGCGAGGCTACGAAGACTGGCTGAGGACGAGGGACATGGAGGAGCTGCTTGGGGAGAACAAAGTTGTGATCTGAGAAGCGCGTGTATGAACTGTTTCTATAGGTTCAAAGTTTATTCTCAGGAGGAGGTGTTCGCTGAGCGGGAGATGGATAGCTTATGGATAGATCAGGGGCTAGGTCTGGGCGGTTAGAGAGCAGACAAGCTGACGTCGTATTGGCACACGTAACGATCATATGACGTCGTCCAACATTCAGACCAGTGTTGACCCCGAAGGCCATTTCTTGACAGTAGCCATCGAATAACGCCCGATAACATAACTAAAAATACACATTATCTCACTCCCAGTCGAGTTCTTGACAGTGTCGTCGTGCCGCCGGTTGTTTGCAGAGCCCTTGGACATCTATCCAATGATGAACTTATGGAAAACAGGCGAAGTACCTTTATCGTCGACATGGATCGATCCGCCATACTTGCTCCAGGGATGAGATCTCCATTCAAGATTGCCATCAACGAGGTCGTTCAACTCGTCGACGAACTGCTCGCTTCACTTTGAAGCAGCGGGTTGACGTATACGTCGAACGCCACCTTCTGTTCAAGCGAGCCGATACAGAAAAGAAAGACCAGCCGGTCTAGCGCACACGCCTGCCTCTCGGCTTCGTTGTCGTCGTCGTCGTCGTCGTCGTCGTCGTCGTCGTGGTGCTCCTCCTCCATGTTGGCGGCAGCACCGACGTCGTTAACAACGTCGTTAGCAGCGTCATCCAGCAGCTGCGCGACCGCCTCCAGCCGGCCCCACTGCGCGTCGGAAAACCGCACTCTGTGCTTCGCCGCCGCCTCCTCCCGCCCCAGCCGCAGCGCCTGCAAGCAGTAGCACAGATATCGCTTCCAATACCCCTTGTACCGGTCCATCGAGCTGGCGTGCTCCTTGACGCCGCCCGGCCGGCTTGCCCAGGTCGATGCTTGCCAGCCACTGCAGTGTCTCGTGCGGCATAAGCTCCAGCCGTTCCGTGCACCGCGCCACCTCCCGGTCAAAGCTCTTGGCAAGCTGTGTCAGCTGCTGCTGCTCGTCCTTTGATACCGTATCATGCAGCCTCTCTAGTGCGGCCCTAGACAGTGGGTCCAAGTTAATGTCATACAATATTGTCAGATCTTTGTCTTCAAGATGTTTGGCCCACCTCATCTCCCGTACCCAAGCCGAGTCCGCATTGATTCCGCCGGGCCCGTCCGCCTTCTGTTGCTGCTCCTCTTTTTCTACTGCCAGTTTGGCATCCTATGCTGTTAGCATGAGCTGCCACATGTTGCTATTAGTGCCATTGCTGTTTTTGCTGTTACTGCTATTAGTGCTGTTACTATTACTGCCGCCTGTTTCTGTATTGGTTTCAGTGGTCGCAGCCTGCTTGCTTGATAGCCGTTCTACCTTGAACCAGCCGCTTGACGCCCGATTGCGGAAGAACCTCTGCCACGACACGCCTGTGCGCCACGGCACCTTGTCCTCTCCTACGGCTGCGGTGTCTTGTCCGCCTGCGACCCGACCTTGGTTCCGCGGGTTGGTTCATCCGTGCGTTGCTCGGCAGTGGTCTTGTATCTTCTTCAGCTGCCGGCTGATGTATGGGCACTGCGTACATGCCAACCCGTCTCTCTCTGGCGGGTGCAGATAGGGGTTGGCAGCCCACTTGGGTGGCGGGAACTCGAAGTCAGCTTGTAGTTGCGCCTAGCTGGAAAAGATGCTGGGGGTCTGCTGAACTTCTTGCACAATTTCACACCGCTATACATTGTTCGCGATACATGGCTTGTAGGTTTTAAATGCGACTTGACCTTGTTCACTACGCATGCATAATAACATTCTGAATAAATAACAATTCTCTGTCGTGAGGTATAAACGAACAGGATCATTATAAGATAATTATATAAACAAATAAATAAAAGACAAAAAAATAAAAAAATCCAGTTGTATCTATCATTCACCTGCCGTCTGACCCCTTGTCCAGCCCAGGGCCCCGCTAGCCAGGCATCCCGCCCGCCTCCCGGCTCCAGGCCCAACTTTCCCCTAACCCCAATGGACAGAGAAAGCCCCCTTCCAACCGTCGCAGCGACACGCCGACAGCACGGCTGGATTCGCCGTCTCGTCCTCTCTATATAACTGTCAACGCCGGCCGATTTTTCGCCCGGTAACCAAATCGACTTTACCCCCCTGGTCACCGTGCACGCGCCCATATGCGCCGCGTGCAGGTCCGTGAGCAAATCGACTCTAGAAGAGTCGATTTGGGAATAATGCCTAGGTCCAGGAATCGAGGCGAAGGAAGTGTTTAAACGACGCTGACCTTCCGAAAGGAAGACGATTCGCTGCCGGCATAAGGCATGGAACGTGCTTGTTTCTGTCTGTCAGTCAAGCTGTGTGAGCTGAGCGAAGGGGACAGTAGTCTGTGCTACAGTCCGGGTTGGCTATATCCTCCTCGTCTCCCAGCTGCCATGGGCTTTTCCCCCGGGTATGCCATCGGCCCTGACCCTGGCCCTGACCCCCCGACCCTGACATTGACCAGAGCTTCGTGCTTCGAGCTTCCAGCCATGAAAACAACCGTCACTTAGCCTCCAAATTCAAAACTTCGGGTATGAGCGAACTGACCGCTTGTCATTTCCTACTACAAGCCTGAGAGCCAACAGGACACCATACTCTTATAGCGCGGTCGTTCTAACTTAAGCAAGCAACCTCATTCCCAAGAACGGCCGCCATGATACACTGACTCACCAATATTATGCGTACACCCGACGCCCCACTGACGCGTGAGAAATCCATCCACCATCACCCATTGACTGAGGCAAAAAACCAACAACAGGCACGCAAATCACCATTAATAGTAGCTAGATAACTTGTCAATATAATCCACGAAATCCACACAATTCCACGAGGACCCCTGGTTGATCAACATCACGAGCTTCATTCGTGTGATTGGATCTATTCAACGTCACGGAAGGCCATGGTGGAGTGGATTGAGTTGGTCCTAGCCCTGGTTGGCTGCGTGAAGTGAATCCGAAGATCCAGTGCCTCCGAGATGAGCAAACGACCAGGCGGACTCCCACCCCCAGCCAGAGCTGTCTCTCACGCCAACGGACATTGACATCAGCCGCTACCTCCCCTCACCCGGAGGAGGGGGGATACGGTATGAGTTGTCGCTTAAGTATGGTGGCTGTCTACGGACTTGACCTGCTAGATGGGCAGTGTATGTACATTGAAGGCCTAGCCTGGCACGCCTGAGCGGCCTCTTGGAGCCTCTGATTGACGCCGCTACGCGGCAGTCCCCGCGGCGTTAATTGCTACAACAACAACAACAAAATAGCATTCTGAACCTGAGCTCAGACGATTTTGCTTAGATGTCAAAGCCCGATAAAGAATACAAAAGTAACGAGCCCTAAGATTATGGCAACGGCCTGCTCCGTGAGGGCATACACGGATGCTTGTAAGTGGGCTCTACAGCAATCTCTGCTGTTAATGCTGATGGTTGGGTGGTCCCGCCGTTAATCATTCTACAGAGCAAAACCCACTTCGCGTCATGGTATCACGACACGACATTACCACGCGATTGGAAGGTGGCTGTGTCCGACAACGGGTGGAGTTAAACAGAACACTTTCGGATGAGGGAAGGCCTGGTACATTGAGGAATGGGACAAAACATTGGTACATAGGAGTTTTCCTGATACATATTATAAGAATTGGATAAATGGCACTATATTCTAAATATGAATGACCGAGTCGCTGTTCTTACTAATAACTACCATAGCGGGCCTTGAAACCTATCACCGTCGCTCCCTCCACTCGTTAAAGTCCGTTTGATGCTTCTCGAGCCGTGTCTGTAGTTGATGTAGTTGGTCCAAGATATCCACACAAACGCTTCTTAGTTCCGAGACTTCGTCTGTTTTCGGTCGAGAGTTTTGGGGTTGACTGCTGGTTTCTGGCCAGTGTGATAAGACAAAGGCCGGATCGTTTAAATCCAGGAAGTTACTCTCGTTTCCCATGTCGTACTCAAAATTCTCCATAAGTCTATAACCTCCAGGTCTCTCTCTTATATAAGTCCTTGAAACTTGACTTTGACTAAACCTGCCAAATCGCAAAAGCCCTTTACATAAGCAGCTTGTCATGTCTGACTGCAAATTTTGACATAAGTCAGTATAATATTATGTGCCATTGTCAAAGATTGACATGATTTAGCTCTTTTATCAAGTGAAATGTCCTTGCAAATTGACGCATTGACATAATTTTTCCGAGAGGCAACACTGGATGACAACAATATAATTCATGGCACGTCCACTTCGCCAACAGTATCCAGGTTCGTAAAATCTCCCCATGTCGTGTTTTATTGGAAGCAGTATCGCGACGTACCAAAGGTCGACGCTCTGTCGTCTGCCTAGCTGGTTGATCCCCATCGTGCACGTCACGTGTTATTTACAACGCAGAAACAGGTGGCGTTAGCACAGCCGGACAAGAGGCTTGGTACAAATATGCTTACTCGTTGGGGTAAAGGTACCGTCGAGAGTGCAACCCAGTGGACTGGAAGACCTCGGTCCGGGAATTTACATAACTCGTGGTCTAGAAGACCTCCCCTCACTGGGAATGCATAGCTATGGCATCAACGACTAGTACATCCTGGCCCAGAAGCTTTGGAACACCTAGTGCGCGCATCTCAGGGGGTGGTCATCCGAGGACCGACAGGAGTGGAATGCGAGTCATGCGGAATATCCAAGGCCAGACAGCATATAAAGAGAGCACCACGATCCAACTACGAAGATCCAGGAGAGAGATTAACTCTCGACTTCCACGACTACGAGAGGTTCCTATCAAACGAGTCATCTCATATGGTCTTCACATACAGAAATTCTGGTGTCTCATGGGACTATGCTCTTGAGAATCGAACTACGGGAACGATCAAGGTAGAGCCCTCGGCTCCCAATACATGGGAATGAGTACCCGTATACCACGGCAAAGTTTGCCCTATTACCTTCACCACCGCCTAGCTCTCTGTCTGCCCTGCTATGTCATAGTATTCAGAAGGGGAATGAGGAACCCAAAAATCCTCTCCAAGACCCAGGACGAAAAGAGCTCTAGCCTTGGAAAGCGGCGTTCCTAGCAGGCCTCAAGGCTTCGCCCATAGAACGATCAGGTCAAACAACCCTAGATCGGGCAAGCATTAAGAGAGCCTTGCGAAAAGGATTCAAGCTGCACAGGCGACTCCTGGAAGAAGCGCCACGGCGGCGCAACGAACTAGCAACCCATTCAATGGGGCACTTGTTCGAAATAGTTGCATCATCACCTCCGCAAGGGTCGCCCCCTGCGCTCTTGTCACAGTCTCACTCTTCTGGGTTGTCTTCTCCCAGGGATAACGAACGCATATACCCGAGTAGGAGAACCTCACTACAAGGAACGGTCTCAGTGGCAAGAGGAACATCGACGTAATCCCTGGCCTCGAGTATTTTGCTCTCGCAACAGAGATCATTGGCGGTGAAGTTAGTGGCGCCACACTGAAGCACGTCTATGTGCATCTCATTGCTGGCTTGTATCATGGGCAGCTTGGTCGTGTCATGGATAGTTGGGCCTTTATCAGCCAAATAAGCCAAAAATTATAAATGATCATCCGACCCCAAGCCTAGGGTTAGGGTTAGGGTTAGGGTTAGGGTTAGGGTTAGGGTTAGGGTTAGGGTTAGGGTTAGGGTTAGGGTTAGGGTTAGGGTTAGGGTTAGGGTTAGGGTTAGGGTTAGGGTTAGGGTTAGGGTTAGGGTTAGGGTTAGGGTTAGGGTTAGGGTTAGGGTTAGGGTTAGGGTTAGGGTTAGGGTTAGGGTTAGGGTTAGGGTTAGGGTTAGGGTTAG